GTCCTTAAAGCATTTTTAGTTGTAGAACTAATAGGTTAGTTGGAACAACTTTTGCTTGCCATATCACTTCTGTTTGCTCTACTTGTTCGCTTTGTCTTTCATATCTTCTTCTTTCTGCTTGGAAATCAACAAATCCAACAGATTGAGGTCTGTCTAGAATGATGCTGGCAGATACATGACCCAAAAGCTGATATATTATTGATCAGTGAGGTGTTTTTTTTATCTAGCACACGAGGGAAAAAAGATCAGCTCTCCAAGCAAAGTCAAATAACAATAAATAACAAAGATTGCTTAAAATACAGTATGCTAGATAAGCCTTGTTTTTGAAAGTCCTGCAGTCCTGTTGAAAGTGTGCTGAGGTCCTCTAGACTAGATCTAAATAAATAAAACATCTAGTTTAGTATTCTTTGGTTTCTGTGTCATTGCAGATGGTTCAGTTGCTGGTGTCCAGAGGTGCAAACATTAATGCATTTGATAAGAAGGACAGACGAGCCGTTCACTGGGCCGCATACATGGGTAAGACGTCAATATTACCATCAGGATGAACAGAAAACATGTTTCTATTAGCCTCAGATCAGTGTAGAGCAGACGGGTGCCTTCAAACGCACTCACTGTCTCTGTCTCTGTCTCAGGTCATCTGGAGGTGATGAAGTTGCTGGTGTCTCACGGCGCTGAGGTTTGCTGTAAGGATAAGAAATCCTACAGTCCTCTTCACGCCGCTGCCTCCAGTGGAATGATCAACGTCGTCAAATACCTGCTCCATCTGGGCGTTGATGTAAGTAAGCCCCGCCCACACCATGCATACAGCCCCGCCCCTTGGTTGCCACGTGAACCATGATTGATTTATGTAGAGAGCACATGCTGTACGTTACCTGCTGATGCCCTGATCTCATTCAGCTGATTACTTCATTGACTTTACAAAATCACAATATGTCAGTGTTTTTTTAAATTGTATAATTTGATATGTAATGTATAGCCAAATCTACAAAAGTTTAAATTAATATCCCAACACACATGCAACCATTCATAGAATATTGTTGTACCCCATTTTTCTTTAATTATAAAAGAGTTTAAATCATATTGTTCAGGATGTATGTTTATCATTAATATTTTATACATCAAACAGAAAGATGCTATATTATATTGTATCAATTATGTTATGTTATGTTATATATCCAGGACTATATTAAATATATTATACAGTATTATCGGATTTGAAGAACTGCTTATGACTGTATTTACATAATTAATAATTAATCAACATTTAATAATCTACACCAAGGCATTTATTTGATCAAAATTAAACCGTAAAACTGTGAAATATTATTGCAATTTAAAAGCACTGTTTTCTATTTGAATATACTTTAACCTGTAATTTATTGCTGTGATCAAAGCTGAATTTTCAGCATCATTA